GGTTTTAAGGGATTTCTATGTGGTTTCAGGTGGTTTCAGAGGTTTAAAGAGCTTTCAAATGATTTCAAGGGGTTTAAGATCTGAGATCAAGGGGTCTCAGGTGGTGTTAAGGGGGTTTCAGGTAGTTTCAAGAGAGGTTTCGAGTGATTTTACGTGATTAAAAGAGTTTCAGATAGTTTAAAAGTCAAGTCATTTATCTCCCAGCTCGATGCTAATATATTAATTTTACTTAATTTAACCTAATCCGGTTTTTACATACCCACACATTACCCAGCATACCCATACGATATCCAGCATATCCATACTTTACTAGCATACCCATACGTTACCTAGCATACCCATACTTTACCTAGCATACCCATACGTTACCCAGCATACTCATATGTTACCTAGCACACCTATATGTTACCTAGCACACTCATACCTTACCTAGCATACCCATATGTTACCTTGCATACCCATACCTTACCTACTTGAAAAGGGTTCTGGGAGTTCTACTCCCCGAGCCCGTCCTGAGGCCAGGCTCGACTTGTGATAACTTGGTCCAACAGACTGTTGCTTGGAGCGGCCCGCAGGCCCACATATTCACATATCTCTTGTTTGCTGGAACACAAGTCTTAAGACTCTTGTTTGCTGGAACACAAGTCTTAAGACTCTTGTTTGCTGGAACACAAGTCTTAAGACTCTTGTTTGCTGGAACACAAGTCTTAAGACTCTTGTTTGCTGGAACACAAGTCTTAAGACTCTTGTTTGCTGGAACACAAGTCTTAAGACTCTTGTTTGCTGGAACACAAGTCTTAAGACTCTTGTTTGCTGGAACACAAGTCTTAAGACTCTTGTTTGCTGGAACACAAGTCTTAAGACTCTTGTTTGCTGGAACACAAGTCTTAAGACTCTTGTTTGCTGGAACACAAGTCTTAAGACTCTTGTTTGCTGGAACACAAGTCTTAAGACTCTTGTTTGCTGGAACACAAGTCTTAAGACTCTTGTTTGCTGGAACACAAGTCTTAAGACTCTTGTTTGCTGGAACACAAGTCTTAAGACTCTTGTTTGCTGGAACACAAGTCTTAAGACTCTTGTTTGCTGGAACACAAGTCTTAAGACTCTTGTTTGCTGGAACACATACAACCGCTCATTTACAAGCCTTACCTTACATAGTATTATCAGTTAAGAACGGTGCCCAATCATTCCCCAATTGTAAGGACTCGAAACAAGGTCCTCACACTTGCAGTAAGCGAGTGCATAAGCTAACTGCTTAAGCACAGAGTTCTCGACCTCATTTATGGTCTTAAATGGTCACTCCCCATAATTGGTCATTGTTCTATTATATCTTTGATTCTATATTTGTCAACTGCGTGACTACAAATCTCCTTCATCTTTGACTACTCTGTAACTGGTCCTTCTCCTTTATCATTTTTCCATTATTATTGTCCTCTGTTTTCATTCCTACATGGTTAGCCCTTATTATCCATCTACGACTCTTCCAAGATTAGTCCTCCCTGCGTTCTTCAAACATGGTTGACATTTTTTTTCATCTTCATCTCATCATGACAGCCCCTCTTTCCGCCTCCATATTTACTTCCATATGACTATAGTTACTTGTTTTTATCTTAAGTGTGTATCCATCTTACGTTCTCCATGGCTGATCCATATCCACCGTCTCTGACTCCTCCATGACTAATCGCTTTTCTCTTCTCTCTTCCTCTGTTGTTGACCCTGTTCCTCCATCTCAATCCCTCCATGACAAGCCATTCTTCCCGACTCTATCATATGATAGAAATTGGTCTCCGTTTATATTCCTCGTGTAATGCCCTATCTCTCTCCATCTTAAGTCCTCCCCGATACAAGCGTCAGCGCGTACGCTGCCACATCTTAATCTCTTAAGACGCTCCGGTTGGTAGTTTAAAATTTTCTTGGAATATTTATGTGTATGATTTGTTTTTTAAAACTTTTACATCTGTTCACCTCTTCCCTAAGAACTTCTGGTTTCTCTTGTGACTCTCGATGTTGTCGTTATCGTCATCTTCCTCATGCAACCTTACGTGTAAGAGAGGAGGAGGAGCGGGCACCAGGTGTGGCCTGGTGTCACACCCTCACGGAGGAGGAGCTGGTACCAGGTGTGGCCTGGTGTCACACCCTCACGGAGGAGGAGCTGGTACCAGGTGTGGCCTGGTGTCACACCCTCACGAAGGAGGAGCTGGTACCAGGTGTGGCCTGGTGTCACACCCTTACGGAGGAGGAGCTGGCACCAGGTGTGGCCTGGTGTCACACCCTTACGGAGGAGGAGCTGGTACCAGGTGTGGCCTGGTGTCACACCCTTACGGAGGAGGAGCTGGTACCAGGTGTGGCCTGGTGTCACACCCTTACGGAGGAGGAGCTGGTACCAGGTGTGGCCTGGTGTCACACCCTTACGGAGGAGGAGCTGGTACCAGGTGTGGCCTGGTGTCACACCCTCACGGAGGAGGAGCTGGTACCAGGTGTGGCCTGGTGTCACACCCTCACGGAGGAGGAGCTGGCACCAGGTGTGGCCTGGTGTCACACCCTTACGGAGGAGGAGCTGGTACCAGGTGTGGCCTGGTGTCACACCCTTACGGAGGAGGAGCTGGTACCAGGTGTGGCCTGGTGTCACACCCTCACGGAGGAGGAGCTGGTACCAGGTGTGGCCTGGTGTCACACCCTCACGGAGGAGGAGCTGGTACCAGGTGTGGCCTGGTGTCACACCCTTACGGAGGAGGAGCTGGTACCAGGTGTGGCCTGGTATCACACCCTTACGGAGGAGGAGCTGGTACCAGGTGTGGCCTGGTGTCACACCCTCACGGAGGAGGAGCTGGTACCAGGTGTGGCCTGGTGTCACACCCTCACGGAGGAGGAGCTGGCACCAGGTGTGGCCTGGTGTCACACCCTTACGGAGGAGGAGCTGGTACCAGGTGTGGCCTGGTGTCACACCCTTACGGAGGAGGAGCTGGTACCAGGTGTGGCCTGGTGTCACACCCTCACGGAGGAGGAGCTGGTACCAGGTGTGGCCTGGTGTCACACCCTCACGGAGGAGGAGCTGGTACCAGGTGTGGCCTGGTGTCACACCCTTACGGAGGAGGAGCGGGCACCAGGTGTGGCCTGGTGTCACACCCTCACGGAGGAGGAGCGGGCACCAGGTGTGGCCTAGTGTCACACCCTTACGGAGGAGGAGCTGGTACCAGGTGTGGCCTGGTGTCACACCCTCACGGAGGAGGAGCGGGCACTAGGTGTGGCCTAGTGTCACACCCTTACGGAGGAGGAGCGGGCACCAGGTGTGGCCTAGTGTCACACCCTTACGGAGGAGGAGCGGGCACCAGGTGTGGCCTAGTGTCACACCCTCACGGAGGAGGAGCGGGCACCAGGTGTGGCCTAGTGTCACACCCTTACGAAGGAGGAGCTGGTACCAGGTGTGGCCTGGTGTCACACCCTTACGGAGGAGGAGCTGGTACCAGGTGTGGCCTGGTGTCACACCCTCACGGAGGAGGAGCTGGTACCAGGTGTGGCCTGGTGTCACACCCTTACGGAGGAGGAGCTGGTACCAGGTGTGGCCTGGTGTCACACCCTCACGGAGGAGGAGCTGGTACCAGGTGTGGCCTGGTGTCACACCCTTACGGAGGAGGAGCTGGCACCAGGTGTGGCCTAGTGTCACACCCTCGCCACACTCACTAATAAAGTCCTCATAATATCCTCCTTTAGGGGGTCAGCCATGTTCCTTTTTACTATCTTATTTTATACTAATAAGTCATCTTTTAACACGCTAATTTATTCTCTATTAAAACAGGCGTGAACATGATTGTGGAATTAACCTTAAAAGGTTACTGTGTTAATTAACATATTAAGGAATCGAACCCGGTCAGCTAGGGCCTCCATGCCCCTTGGCAGTCCAGTATTGTACCACTTAACCACCGACTGTACACAATTATTGGGCAGTCGTAAGACCTATACAGTCAACACCCGACGGCACTTTATATATATATATATATATATATATATATATATATATATATATATATATATATATATATATATATATATATATATATATATATATATATACACATACATACTGGGAGCCTGCCGTGAGCAGCGTTCGGTACGCTGTGTATTTTTCTTGTGATGTGTCGCTGCTGCTGTTATTCCTCTCCTCTTGTGTCCTCTCCTCTTGTGTCCTCTCCTCTTGTGTCCTCTCCTCTTGTGTCCTCTCCTCTTGTGTCCTCTCCTCTTGTGTCCTCTCTTGTGTCCTCTCCTCTTGTGTCCTCTCCTCTTATGTCCTCTCCTCTTGTGTCCTCTCCTCTTGTGTCCTCTCCTCTTGTGTCCTCTCCTCTTGTGTCCTCTCCTCCTGTGTCATCTCCACAAATTGTCGTCCAATATTTTTCTTCTTCGGGGCTCAGGAACACTTGTCATTCCTGGCCTGCACCTGTTACTTCCCTGGTATTGCCAAGAGCGACACCTGTCATCTCTCTCTCTCTCCCTTGTTGCCACGTACACCAACCACTTGGGCTGGACGGTCGCGCTTCTTGCAGGTCGGTGTTCAATTCCCGACCGTCCAAGTGGTTGAGCACCATTCCTTCTCCCCGTCCCATCCCAAATCCTTATTTTTTCCAAATGTTACATAGTCGTATTGGCTTAGTGTTTTCTGAAGATAATTATCTTACCTTTCTACTCCTAAGTAACTAATACCTGTCATGTCTCTGCTTCTGGGCCAACCCTGCCTCACCACCTGTCATGTCTCTGCTGTAGGGTCAACCCTGCCTCACCACCTGTCATGTCTCTGCTTCAGGGTCAACTCTGCCTCACCACCTGTCATGTCTCTGCTTCAGGGTCAACCCTGCCTCACCACCTGTCATGTCTCTGCTTCAGGGTCAACCCTGCCTCACCACCTGTCATGTCTCTGCTTCAGGGCCAACCCTGCCTCACCACCTGTCATGTCTCTGCTTCAGGGCCAACCCTGCCTCACCACCTGTCATGTCTCTGCTTCAGGGCCGGCGTGAACCCTCCAGCATGGCCTGCTGCTGACCGCACCGCCCGACAGTGGCCGCCCGAGCTCCTCTCCGCCAGGCCCCCGCCATGCGGGTGGCGGCCACCAGCTGCAAGCGGAGGGTGGTCTCTCTTCTGCTGGTGCTCCTGCTGGCCCACCTGCTCCTGCTCCTGCTGCTCCGCCGCGGTGACCAGCCGCCCCCTGCTGCTGCCTCTGCTGCTCCTGCTGCTGGTGAAGCTGCACCGCCTCCTGCCCTCCCCCACACCAGGCTTCTTGGTAAGGGTTGCTTGGTACTCATAAGTATGCACAGAGCACGTTCAAATCGTGGAACCACCTAACACCTTGAGCTTTGAAGAACCCAATGAATTATTTAGGATTTAGTGCTGATTATTTGAGAACCAATATGATACGACGATGCGATTGCGATAACTACGCCATCATGTGAACATTTTCACATTTTTGGAACATTCTATAGATTTATTTTGTTTTCTTCTACCCAACTACCTGGACTGGACGGTATAGCGACGGTCTCGCTTCTTGCAGGTCGGCGTTCAATCCCCGACCGTTCAAGTGGTTGGGCACCATTCCTTCCCCCCATCCCACCCCAAATCCTTATCCTGATCCCTTCCTTCTTAATTTACTGAGACCGGAAGCCTCATGAGGCTGGCCGGTGTGGCACCTAAATTTACCTGAGGATCATTAAATATCTAGTGGCCTCCACTGGGACAGGAAGTCGGTGGCTTGTCAGAGAACACCTCAAGACCCCAATGGTCTAAGGATATTCTTCTATCTGGATTTTAAATTGCATTAATGTCTTGGGATCTCTTATTTTCTGACTTGTTGAACATTGTGGTTTGTTGAACATTGTGGCTTGTTGAGCATTGTGGCTTGTTGAACATTGTGGCTTGTTGAACATTGTGGCTTGTTGAACATTGTGGCATGTTGAACATTGTGGCTTGTTGAACATTGTGGTTTGTTGAAGATTGTGGCTTGTTGAACATTGTGGCTTGTTGAGTGAACATTGTGGCTTGTTGAACATTGTGGCTTGTTGAACATTGTGGCATTTTGAACATTGTGGCTTTTTTAACATTTTGGCTTGTTGAACATTGTGGCTTGTTGAGCATTGTGCCTTGTTGAGCATTGTGACTTCTTGAGCATTGTGGCTTCTTGAGCATTGTGGCTTGTTGAACATTGTAGCTTGTTGGGCATTGTGGCTTGTTGAGCATTGTGGCTTCTTGAGCATTGTCGATTGTTGAGCATTGTGGCTTCTTGAGCATTGTGGTTTCTTGAGCATTGTGGCTTCTTGAGCATTGTGGATTCTTGAGCATTATGGCTTCTTGAACATTGTGGCTTGTTGAGCATTGTGACTTCTTGAACATTGTGGCATGTTGAGCATTGCGGCTTGTTGAGCATTGTGGCTTGTTGAGCATTGTGGCTTGTTGAGCAATGTGGCTTTTTGAGCAATGCGCCTTCTTGAACATTGTGGCTTCTTGAGCATTGTGGCTTCTTGAACATTGTGGCTTCTTGAACATTGTGGCTTCTTGAACATTGTGGCTTCTTGAACATTGTGGCTTCTTAAGCATTGTGGCTTCTTGAACATTGTGACTTCTTGAACATTGTGGCTTCTTGAGATTGTGGTTTCTTGAGCATTGTGGCTGGTTGAGCATTGTGGCTTGTTGAACATTGTGGCTTCTCGAGCATTGAGGCTAGTTGAGCATTGTGGCTTGTTGAACATTGTGGTTTGTTGAGCATTGTGGCTGGTTGAGCATTGTGGATTGTTGAACATTGTGGCTTCTTGAGATTGTGGTTTCTTGAGCATTGTGGCTGGTTGAGCATTGTGGATTGTTGAACATTGTGGCTTCTTGAGATTGTGGTTTCTTGAGCATTGTGGTTTCTTGAGCATTGTGGCTTGTTGAGCACTGTGGCTTGTTGAACATTGTGGCTTCTTGAGCATTGTGGCTTGCTGAACATTGTGGCTTGTTGAGCATTGTGGTTTGCTGAACATTGTGAATTCTTGAGCATTGCGGCTTGTTGAGCATTGTGGCTTGTTGAGCATTGTGGTTTGCTGAACATTGTGAATTCTTGAGCATTGCGGCTTGCTGAACATTGTGGCTTGTTGAGCATTGTGGCTTGCTGAACATTGTGGCTTCTTGAGCACTGTGGCTTGCTGAACATTGTGACATCTTGAGCATTGTGGTTTGTTGAGCATTGTGGTTTGCTGAACTTTGTGGCTTGTTGAGCATTGTGGCTTGTTGAACATTGTGGCTTGTTGAACATTATGACTTTTTGAGAATTGTGGTTTGTTGAGCATTGTGGCTTGTTGAACATTATGACTTGTTGAGCATTGTGGTTTGTTGAGCATTGTGGCTTGCTGAATATTGTTACTTGTTCTACAATGTGGCTTGTTGAGCATTGTGGCTTGTTGAGCATTGTGGCTTGTTGAACATTGTGGCTTCTTGAGCATTGTGGCTTCTTGAGCATTGTGGCTTCTTGAGCATTGTGGCTTGCTGAACATTGTGGCTTGTTCCGCTTTGGGGCATGTTGAACATTCTGGCTTGCTGAGCATTGTGACTTCTTGAGCATTGTGGCTTTTTGACCATTGTGGCGTGTTGAACAGTGTGGCTTGTTGAGCGTTGTGGCTTGCTGAACATTGTGGCTTGCTGAACGTTGTGGCTTGTTGAGCATTGTGGCTTGTTGAGTATTGTGGCTTGTTGAACATTGGGGCTTGTTGAGCATTGTGGCTTGCTGAGCATTGTGGCTTGCTGAGCATTGTCGCTTGTTGAACATGGTGGCTTGTTGAGCATTGTAGCTTCTTCAGCATTGTGGCTTGTTGAGCATTGTGGCTTGTTGAACTTTGTGGCTTGTTGAACTTTGTGGCTTGCTGAGCATTGTGGCTTGTAGAGCATTGTGGCTTGTAGAGCATTGTGGTTTGTTGCGCATTGTGGCTTGTTAAACATTGTGGCTTGTTGAGCATTGTGGCTTGTTGAACATTGTGGCTTGTTAAACATTGTGGCTTGTTAAACATTGTGGCTTGTTAAACATTGTGGCTTGTTAAACATTGTGGCTTTTTAAACATTGTGGCTTGTTAAACATTGTGGCTTTTTAAACATTGTGGCTTGTTGTGCATTGTGGCTTGTTAAACATTGTGGCTTTTTAAACATTGTGGCTTGTTGTGCATTGTGGCTTGTTAAACATTGTGGCTTATTAAACATTGTGGATTGTTAAACACTGTGGCTTGTTAAACATTGTGGCTTGTTAAACATTGTGGCTTGAGTTGCTTGTTGAGCATTGTGGCTTGTTAAACATTGTGGCTTGTTAAACATTGTGGCTTGTTAAACATTGTGGCATGTTAAACATTGTGGCTTGTTAAACATTATGGCTTCTTGAGCTTGAGTTTGTTGTCTCTTGTATGCGTTTCATGCGGTCTTTTATTAAAGTAGTCTGGATTATTATACTCCAATGTGTTCAGTATTTTAAAGGTCTCGATAAGATCAGCCTTGTCATGTCTGGTTTGTAGTGTTGTTAGTCCTGTGGCCCTCAACCGTTCCTGGTTTGAGATTCGACTTAGTTCTGGGGTGATTTTTGTTGCCCGGTGTTGAACTTTCAGATATAATTACGTCCTCTTGAAGGTGAGGTCTCCATGCCTGGATACAGTAACACAAACGTACCAGAAACATTTTCTAAGATTTGGTTGGGGTTTTGTGGCTAGTTGTGAACCTTTCAATGACTGGTGTCTCCTAGACCTGTTTCTTGATCAATCTGCTGATATGATGTGATGAGTATTTACTATATCCTTCATGTCTTGCATTTTAAACACTGGAAAGGTTTTGTTGGTTGTCTGAGTATCTGTGGGGTACACGTCGATCTGTCTGTGCAGGTTTCTGTCTGTCTGTCTGTCTGTCTGTCTGTCTGTCTCCCACTTGACCATAAATCTTGGCGTCCCCTCAGGCACATCACCCTTATTCCCCTCACTGACCTTTCACACTTTTAATGGTTATTTATGGCAAAATTGGTGCTTTGAAATTTCAACGATTTTCCTCATAGTTATCGTCAACATGATTGCAATCTCCTCTGCTCCTCCTCGTCCTCCTACTTCAGCACTTCTCTCACTTCTCCCTCCTCTTCCTCCTCCTTATCTCACCTTCTCCCCTTCCCCAATTATTCATCCTCGCCATGCACACTTCCTCTCCCCTTGCTTCGCGGCCGCCGTGTCAGACCCATTCCAGGGCCACACCCCCTGACCCCTATCAGGGCCACACCCCTTGACCCCTCTCAGGGCCACACCCCCTGACCCCTCTCAGGGCCACACCCCCTGACCCCTCTCAGGGCCACACCCCTTGACCCCTCTCAGGGCCACACCCCCTGACCCCTCTCAGGGCCACACCCCCTGACCCCTCTCAGGGCCACACCCCCTGACCCCTCTCAGGGCCACACCCCCTGACCCCTCTCAGGGCCACACCCCCTGACCCCTCTCAGGGCCACACCCCTTGACCCCTCTCAGGGCTACACCCCCTGACCCCTCTCAGGGCCACACCCCCTGACCCCTCTCAGGGCCACACCCCTTGACCCCTCTCAGGGCCACACCCCCTGACCCCTCTCAGGGCCACACTCCCTGACCCCTCTCAGGGCCACACCCCCTGACCCCTCTCAGGGCCACACCCCCTGACCCCTCTCAGGGCCACACTCCCTGACCCCTCTCAGGGCCACACCCCCTGACCCCTCTCAGGGCCACACCCCTTGACCCCTCTCAGGGCCACACCCCCTGACCCCTCTCAGGGCCACACTCCCTGACCCCTCTCAGGGCCACACCCCCTGACCCCTCTCAGGGCCACACTCCCTGACCCCTCTCAGGGCCACACTCCCTGACCCCTCTCAGGGCCACACCCCCTGACCCCTCTCAGGGCCACACCCCCTGACCCCTCTCAGGGCCACACCCCCTGACCCCTCTCAGGGCCACACCCCCTGACCCCTCTCAAGGCCACCCCCCCTGACCCCTCTCAGGGCCACACTCCCTGACCCCTCTCAGGGCCACACCCCCTGACCCCTCTCAGGGCCACACCCCCTGACCCCTCTCAGGGCCACACTCCCTGACCCCTCTCAAGGCCACACCCCCTGATCCCTCTCAGGGCCACACCCCCTGACCCCTCTCAAGGCCACACCCCCTGACCCCTCTCAGGGCCACACCCCCTGACCATAAACCAGGGGCGTCACACCTGCCCATGGAAGGACGGCCGCCGTTCCATATTTATTATTACAAGGGGCGGGCAGTAGGGCGG